GAATTCAATTATTTAAATACAAAAATGAATAATTTATTGAATAATAATTGAATTTATGTTAAAATTGAATTCTTATAAAGAATTTAATCAACAAATTTTTGAATAATTGAATTCTTTTGACGAATTTTAATAAAGTTTTTAAGAATAATTACAATTTTCGAGGAATTTGATCAAAATTGTATTAAAAATAATTCTGCGCTGAATTTTATAAAAACAACTGAATCCCTGTAAAAAATATTATTTATGAAAATAATTGAATTATTGAGAAGAATTTTATTAAAATTTTTGAAAATAATTGAATTTTTCAGAAAAATTTTATTAAGTTTTTAAAACTAATTGAATTTTGGCTAAGGATTTCATTATTTATAAAGATAATTGAAAATTTTGAGAAGAATTTCATAAAAATTTTTTAACATTATCAAATTTTCGCGAAGAATTTTATTATTTATAAAAAAAAATAATTGAACTTTTGAGAAGAATTTTATTAAAATTTTTATAAATAATAAAATTTCTAGGAAGAATTTTATTATTTACAAAAATAATTGAATTTCGTCGAAGAATTTTATTATTTATGAAGATAATTGAATATTAGAGAAGAATTTTATTAAAAATTTCTAACATTATCGAATTTCTTCGAAAAATTTTATTATTTATGAAAATACTTGAATATATTTGAAAAGAATTTTATTAATATTTTTGATAATAATTGAATTTTTGTATAGAATTTTAATATTTACGAATAAAATTGAATTTTTGGGAATAAATTTATTATTTTTGAAAGTAATGAAAATTTTGACGATAGTTTTATTAAATTTTTGAAAATAATTGAATTTCTGCGAAGAATTTTATTAATTATAAAGATAATTAGAATTGTGAGCAGAATTTCATTAAAATTTTTTAACATTATCGAATTTCTGAGAAAAATTTATTATTTATAAAAATAATTGAATTTTTAAAATTTTTGAAAATAATTGAATTTCTGTAAAGAATTTTATTATTAACGAAAAAATTAGAATTTTTGAGAAGAATTTCATTAAAATTTTTGAAAATAATTGAATTTTTCAAAAGAATTTTATTAAATTTTTAAAAATAATTGAATTTCTGAGAAGAATTAAAATTTCTAATTGAATTCATTTAAAATTGAAATCTATTCTAAAAATTCATTTTGAAATCTTTTGATGTTCATTTATCTATGAAAATTGTAAACGCAATTTTTTTAAAGTTTAATTAATTTTGAAATATTTAAGTAAAAATATTTATTAAATAATTTTTAAGTAATAATTTTATTATAATTTTTCAAGAATTAAGTTATTTAAAAAAATATTATTGTCAGAAATAGAAAAAGTTGAAGAATTTTGTATTAATATTCTTGGTAATTTCATAGTTTAGGAGACAAACAAAGAAGACACAAAAGTTCAGAATTTTCTTATGAATTTTAAAAATTAAATTTTTTCCAGTATTTTAAAAAAAAACTCCCTGATATTTCCCTGTATTCCCTGACCTGTGGCAATTCTGTACTATAGTTTTTCGTAATTTTCCCAATTGAAGGAGAAAACTCATGATTTTCAGCTTTTTAATTACTTTAAGGAGAAAAGGGTTCATAAGTCCAAATTATGTTTTCTAGGATTTAGATTTGAAATTTGTTCTTTATCCACGACTCCATATATTCTGCCTCTTATATTCGTTATATGTTCACTCATCCGCTATTCAAGGTTTGAGTGTCCACTTTGTCTATACTCTTAATGTTTGCAGAAATCGCATATTTATGTTTATGCAAATTTAACTTGCATACATGTATAATCATTTATACATTTAGTGACATCGAATTCCACTGCTCGTAATTAGCAAACACGCGACAATACGAACGGAAATTGCATTCCATCTGTTTTATTTTAAATATTTGAAAAACTTTGATTTATTAATGTAGATATACTGTATATTATTCTTTCGCTGACACTTTATATCATAAACACTTTATATCGTGTAATTATTTCTTGTAATTTATTATAGTCTTGCGAAAGAGTTTTTGAACTACATACATACTACATATTGTTTATAAAAAAAATATGTATTAACAGTTTTAACGGATTTCTATTTCTTTCTTTTTTTTATGTAAATTTTCTTTTTGTTTACGATTTCTAAAGGATTTGCGTTCATTTCTGAGAGAATGTACTCGCACCTAACAAAACGTCTTGGAAAATTTACTCGTCAGGAAGAAAAACATTCAGGATAATATTTGAAGTGTTGTTTTTTTTAAAGAAAGATTTAAAAAATAGTGTTTTTATTTTTTATGATTATGGATAAATGGGAAAATTGAAATAAACAAATTGTGAACGTAAACTAACAAATTTCTCTTTTTTCTCAAATTTCTACAATTAAAAGAAAATCAAAACATTAAACTTGACGACCAAAAAACTCATTTTAGACACTTTACAAAACTGACAAAAATTCTATTCTATATTTTATTTTCCTGACTTTTACCTAATTTTCATCAAAAATATTTACTTCATTCTTATCCTACTGCTAATAAATAGAAATTCGTTCAACGAATTTTAATATTCCTGCGAAAGAATTTAAATATTTAGAAAAATAATTTAATTTTTGCAAAGAATTTTATAAAAATTTTTAAACAATTGATTTATTTCGACTAATTTTATGTAAATACTAATTTAAATAATTGAATTCCTGAGAAATTTTTATTATTTTAATGAAAAGAATTGAATTTTTAAGAAGATTTTTACAAACATTTTTTTAAATAATTGAATTCTGTTTGGAAATTTCATGAAAATAGTAGATATTAAAAATCATTGAATTGAGAAAAGTTTTAAAAAAATAATTAAATTTTACAAAGAATTCTATTAAAATTTTTAAGAATAATGACTGAGTGGCATTTTATCAAATTTTTTTTTTAAATAATTGAATTCCTAAAAAGCACTTTATTATTTATGAAACTAATTGAATTCTTCGAACGATTTTATTCGAATTTTTATTCTAAGTAATAAATTTGAAAAATTTATTACTTTTAAAAATAATTGAATTTCTGTGGAAAATTCTAATATTTTTGTAAATAATTGATTTCTTCCAAAGAATTTTAAAAAAACTTTTTTTTAAATAATAGATTTTTTTACGAGTTGAAATAAAATATTTAAGAATAATTACATTTTTTGATCAATTCCTGTAAAATTGTATTAAAAAGAATTGAAATCCTGCGATAAATTTTATTATTTATGAAAATAATTGAATAGTTGCAAAGAATTTTATTAAAATTTTTAAAAATAATTGAAATTCTGAGAAGAATTTTATTATTTACGAATATAATTAAATTATTGCGAACAATTTTATTAGAATTTTTTAAAATAATTGAATTTCTAAGAAAAAATGTATTACTTTTAAAAATAATTGAATTTTGCAAAGAATTTTATTAAAATGCCTCAAAATAATTAAATTTTCGTAAATAATTTTGTTATTTATCTTTAATAATTGAATTCTTTCAAAGAATTATTTATGTAAATAATTGAATTCTAGGGAAGAATTTTATTAAAATCTAAAAGAATAATTGCATTATTTCAAACAAATTTTAATTAAAATTGTATTTAAAATAATTGATTTCTTTTGAACAATTTTATTAAAATATTTTAAAATATTTTCTGTGAAAAACTCCAATATTTTTGTAAATAATTGAATTCTTCCAAATAATTTTTAAAAAAATATTTTTTTTTAAATAATTGATTTTTTCGAGGAATTAAAATGAAATATTTAAGAATAATTATATTTTCTGAACAATTCCTGTAAAGTTGTAATAAAAATAATTGAAATTCTGCGATGAATTTTATTATTTATGAAAATAATTAAATAGTAACTTGCTAAGAATTTTACCTAGATATTGATAATTCTCGAATTAAGGAAAATAATTGAAATTTTTCAAAGAATTTTATTAAAATTTTGAATTTTATTTAAATTAAAAATTCCTATATTCCTAAAAACAATTTTATCATTAATGAAAATAATTAAATCTCTGTGAAAAATTTAATTATTTATGAAAATAATGGAATTATTGCGAATAAATTTATAAAAGATTTATAATTTCAATTATTATAAATAATTGAATTCCTTTCGAAATCTTTTGGAAAATCATATTCTAAATTAATTGAATATCTGTGGAAATTTTCAGTTGAGTATTATGAAAATTTTTGAAGATAATTGAATTGCTGGGAAGAATTTTTATTATTTATTCAAATAATTTAAAGTTTGACAAGCGTTTCATTAACATTTTGGAAAATAATTGAATTTTTTAGAAGAATTTTATTATCTCCAAAAATAATTGAATTTTTAGGAAGAATTTTTAAAAAAATTTTTAAAAGTAATTGAATTTTGGAGAAGAATTTTATTATTTATTCAAATAATTGAAATTTTCAGTTGAATATTATGAAAATTTTTTAAAGTAATTGAATTTTTGAGATGCATTATTATGTATAAAGATAATTGAAAGTTTGTCAAGAATTTTATTAAAATTGTTAAAAATAATTGAATTTTTGACAAGAATTTAATTGAAATTTTTTAAAATAATTGAATTTTGGAGAATAAATGAACAGTTTGTTAAATAATTGATTTTATCGAAATTTTTTTAAAAATGCTATTCTAAATTAATTGATTGCCTGTAGAAACTTTCTTATTTATGAAAATAATTGAATTTTTGATGAATTTTATCAATTTTTAAAAAATAATTGAAAATAATTGAATGTAGAATATTTGTTGAAAATAATTGAATCGTTTTAAAGAATTTGATTATAATTTTGAAGAATAGTTTTTTCATTTCTAGTATTCTTTAAAATTTTCTAAATAATAAAATTCTTACGAATAGAAGAGAGTGTTACAAAGACTTAGAATAGTTTTTGTACAGAATAGTGATTGAAGAATTTCTATTTGCCTTTTAATGATAAGAATAGAATTGAATAAATTTCGAAACTTCCCTGAATAATAATGAAATGATTTGTTGACAGAATGGTTCTCGTGGTAAATGGGGTTCTCCAAGAGGAACCCCCGGCGGACAGCAGGTCATTATATGCAGCCCACCCAGTATATCGTGAGACCGCTGCTCAACTGCACTCGATGCCGGCAAAATTAGTGGGCCCCGTGGGCCTTCTTTACGTCCAGCAGAGAGAAATGGCTGCAACCCTTCCCCACGACAGTGAGTATTCATATGCGAATACGCATGCATTGCATTACGCACAATTTTAATCAATTGCTCTTTAAATCTAATGGCGTGTATAATTAACAATATAAAATCCCCATTATATTTTTCCAAGAATTTTTATTGTGTGCGAAGAATAATCTGTCCGTTTAATGGCAAATGATTTATCAACCGAAAATATGCGGGGGATATTAATTTTCAATATTGTTATACGTCCGTAATAACGTTTATAAACGGACAATTTAATTTCATTTTTGTGATATAATTAATAAAGTTGTCTAATTAACATACTTTGTATTCGTTAGTTAAAATGTTTTCTAATTTCAATCAGTGACCGACTTTTCCTTTGAATAAGTGAATTTTACTAATAAATTAGTAGACATTGAAATTTATTAGTAAAATTTTCTAATAAATTAGTAGAAATTAAAGTTATTAGTAAAATTACTAATAAATTAGTAGAAATTAAAATTTATTAGTAAAATATACTAATAAATTAGTAGAAATTGAAATTTATTAGAAAAAATTTACTAATAAATTAGTAGAAATTGAAACTTATTAGTAAAGGTCACTAATAAATTAGTAGAAATTGAAACTTATTAGTAAAGGTCACTAATAAATTAGTAGAAATTGAAATTTATTAGTAAAAGTTACTAATAAATTAGTACAAATTGAAACTTATTAGTAAAGGTCACTAATAAATTAGTAGAAATTGAAATTTATTAGTAAAAGTTACTAATAAATTAGTACAAATTGAAATCTATTAGTAAAAGTTACTAATAAATTAGTAGAAATTGAAATTTATTAGTAAAAGTTACTAATAAATTAATAGAAATGAAAATTTATTAGTAAAATTTACTAATTAAGAAGCAAATAATTACCAATTCAAAGTCAGTTATCAATTTAAATTTGTAAAAATTTTTATAAATTCAAACTCAAAGAAATTTTTTAGAAATTTTTTTTTTTAAAATAATCAGTCAAATTTGACTTTTGAATTAGTTGTTTTCTACTAATAATTACTGTTTAATTAATAGTTTTCTACTAATTGAGATTTAGATGGATAGAAAATTACTAAAAATTAGCTAACAATTTTACGAATTTAAATTATTTAACATTATAGAAATGATTTAATTGCATTTTATTTGCAGAAAATGTCAGCATCTTAGGATCTGATGATATGACCACGTGCATAATCGTCGTCGTCAGGCATTCTGGTAAGAAAATATCATTTTGTATCAAAACTTTATTAAAAATCAAATTTTCTAGATCTTTAATTTATATATTAGGTGCTTTTTGTGATTTTCGTAACTTTTTTTTTAATAATTTTGAATCTGAAATAATTTAATTCTTGCATAGAATTTTATTTCATTTTTTTAAAACAATATTGAATTGTTTGGAAGAATTTTATGGAAATTTTTGAAAATAATTGAAAATACCTCTGAAAGATTTTATTATTTTTGAAAACAATTAAATTCCTGTCAAGAATATGATTATTTTCGAAAATAATTGAATTTTTTGGGAAGAATTTTAATATTTTCGAAAATAATTGAATTTCTTAGAAGAATTTAATTAAAATTTTTGAAATGAAATTAAATATCTGAGAAGAATTCTATTATTTAAGAAAATAATTGAATTTTTGAGAAGAATTTTATTAAAATATTTGAAAATAATTGAATTTCTGTAAAGAATTTTATTATTTACGAAAGTAATGGAAATTTTGACAAGAAATTTATTAAAATTTTGGAAAATAACTTAATTTCTGAGAAGAACTTTACTATTTATAAAAATAAAAGAATTTTGTAGAAGAATTTTATTAAAATTTTCGAAAATAATTGTCTTTTTGCGAAAAATTTTATTATTTACGAAAATAATTGAAATTTCGACAAGAATTTTATTATTTACGAAAATAATTGAATTTTTGAGAAGAATTTAATTAAAATTTTTGAATCTGAGAAGAATTTTATTACTTATTAAAATTATTTAAATTTTGACAAAATTTTTTGTAATTTTTGAAAAGAATTGAATTTCTGCGAAGAATTTTATTTAAATTTTTGAAAAAAATGTAATTGTTTTAAAGAATTTTTTGAAAATAATTAAATTCTATTGAGAAATAGAATTTTTTTAATTGTATTGAGAATAATTGAAAATTCGTCTGAAGAATTTATTATTTATTACAATAATAATTGTATTCAGGAATTAAAAATTTATTATAATCATATTCAAAATAATTTAATTCATCTATAAATTTTAATATTTTTGAAAATATGTACCATTTAATTTTACGAAGAATTTATTAAAATTTCTAAAAAATTTAAATATTTCGACATATTTTATTATTATTCAATTTCTTTGAAGACTTTTATTATTTGTGAAAATAATTGACTTCTTGTCAATTTTTTGACAAATGTAATTAAAATTGTATTAAAAATAATCCAATTTTTATATAGAATTTTATTAAAATCAGTTGAATTCCTGAGAAGAATTTCAATATTTATGAAAATAATTGAATTCGTTTGAAGATTTTTATTAAAATTTTTGAAAATAATATATACCTACCTAATAATAATTAATTAGTAAATAAACAATTTTTTTTAAATTTTCAATCTGAAATTATTCAAAAATTGAAGATAATGTTTGGAAATAAATTCAAAGTTCAATTATTTTTTGAATTTTTAAGTAAAATTATTTGCTAAATAATTTATAAATAATAACTTTAATTATAGAAATAAAAAAAAATTTTAATTAAATTGAGAATTTTCTTTTTTTTTTTTGTTAAAGGCTAATTAACAATAAAATTCTGAATTTTCTTATAAATTTTATAAATTTAATATTTTTTCAGTACTTTTGATTAAATTCTCTGACTTTTCCCTGAATTCCCTAACCTGTGGCCTATTTTATTATTTACCGGCCCTCTAAAGATTAAGCCACGAATGCTCGAAATATTGTTTATTATAGGTAAAGTAGCTGAAACTCGAAGTTTGCAGGTCACCTGACGCGGAGGGAAAAAAAGTAGTGACGCCGGGGAAAAAAAGGACGCGCAGGCGCATAGCGGCTGCGCGCACCTTTTTTACCCGGCGTCACTACTTTTTTTCCCTCTGACGGTTAGATATTCAAAATAAGGATTTCTATTCCCAGAAAATTATTTTTCAACCTAAAATAAAAGACAGTATACCATATACTCTTTTGCTTTTGCTATCTGCACACTTTATTGTTTCAAAAGTGAATTATAACGATATATTCAAAGTAAAACCAGGAAATAGAAGGAGCGTTCCGGAAAATGTAGTAAAATATATACAATATATAAATATATATATCGATGATAAAAAGCAAGTGGAATTATTCTAGGAATCCCTAACGAGCAGATCGAAAGCTGGCAAGCAAAAATCAGTGGAAAATATCGACTGAATCGAAAGGCGTGACGTTTGACAAGCCGCAGTCGATTCGCTCTTTATCTTTTGCGTTCGTTTTCTCTCCATCTTTGTCGGCAACCTATTCCAAAGGATCAATCTTTCCCTTTCGCCGATCGCAAGGAGAATCTCACCATCTTAATCCCTTTTCAAGTTGCGAGGCAGACATATATAAGTGAATGCCGGCACAAAAACCGTTTGAAATACGTTCCAATAAGACAAACGCGTCTTTCTCTCTTTTGCAGAGAAGAGAAAGAGTCTCTCTCTCTCTTTCTCTCTCGTTGTGAGTCGCTTGGGACCTCCAGGACCCTACTATAGGCGATGCGTTCCTCCTGGCATGGCGTTCGTTGTTCACTAGGCGCGACAACCACCAATGAGCCTTTAAGACTTTGCTATACACCATTCCCCGATATAGCCTGCCATAACGAAGACTCTTTCGTGTGATGTTCGATAATTATCTCCGGCGATGCTTCAGTGGCGTACTTGAACAATTTCCTAGTTACTGTATATGTATATCGCCTCAGCTGTTTGTGAAATATTATTTCAAGTCTTTCATTCTCTTTGCTTCATTGATAGATTCAATTTGATATTGTTGCTGAAGCAAATCGAATTTAATTCAAAAAAAATTATATCTTGACGAATGCTTCGAAATCGGTTACTATCTTTTATCACTAGATTCCGAACGTGTAAATTTCTCAGCGTCTGTTATTTATACAGCAATCGATTTTCTTTCGATTCGCTTTAAATTTTACGATGCTTGTAATCAACGATTTGGGAGAATTTATACTTTTATCTAACCTCCTCCGCTTTTCTAAACTTTTACTCTTTGGATTTTCACTTTTTTGACCATTTTTTCGCTCAATCGGTTTAAAGAAATATATTTTAAAAAACTAGATATTTTTATCAGGATATTTTTTATCATAGAAAGAGTCAGTTAGTGTACCTAAGGGGGCCCCTCTTCTTTCTCTCTCTCTATCGACGCATGCGCGAAGCAACTGCGCCTGCGCCGCTTTTTTCACCAATGAGAGTCGCGCAAGCGCAGTTGCTTCGCGCATGCGTCGATAAACAGAGAAACAAGAGGGGCCGTTAGGTACACTAACTAACTCTTTCAGCCCTCTCACGTCCTCTATTTATACATAATTAAAATAATAATTTTAATAAGTTTTAAATTTCGTTCATTTGAACGTTCCAAACTTTAAGAATTTAAAAAATATATTTTCGTTTTACTGCATGAAACAAAATATTTGATAAATATCGGCTTAGTTTTATTCTTTTTTAGTCATTTGAAAACAAATCACTCTGATTAAATGTTCAATGGAATCGGATTTTAATCTACTTCAGAAAGAGAATTAAACTCCGCACGGTACATACAGCTTTTCTCCCAGCTTCGATCTGTTAATTTCGTGTAATTAACTTGTTCCTACGCCACTGTCAATAGAACAGTGCAGTGATAAATAATCACTTTGGATTGCCAATAGTGATACCGGTACTAAAACTTAACTCACTTTAATAATGAGGATAATAATAATATTAATAATCATGATAATAATAATTTTGCTTCAACTCAGAGTTCCGAGTGTGTGTTTTTAAAAACATAAACTGCAGTAAAAATTACAGTAAAAATTAAATCTTATATTGAAAAAAAGTCACTTCAGGAACCTGAGAGGCATTGTTTTAAATTCAGCACAAAGTTGTCTAATAATGATTTTAGCAGATAATCTAAAATTCAGCATATTACAGAAGTTAAAAATAAGAAAAAAAAGATTTTACTTTCATGGCAAAATTAATTTGAAACAGAAAAGATAAAATTTATCTGAAACATTTTCTAGAAAACAGGGCTCGGGTTGTGCGACTTTTTTCGACTTTTCTAAGGAAATGTGACTTTTTTAGACTCTTTTGTGAAAAAATGCGACTAATCGACTTTTTCGACTTTTCTAAGGAAATGTGACTTTTTTTAGACTCTTTTGTGAAAAAATGCGACTAATCGACTTTTTCGAGATTTTTTTTAGTAAAATGCGACTAATTGACTTTTTTCAAATTTTTCAATTACTTTTCGACTTAAATTGTAAATGGCAGAAATCTTTTTTTGTAAACAATATTGTTCACAAAATCATTCTTCTCTTTAGGGAAAAAAATATAACATATTATCTCGTTTCTTAATATTTTTGTAGGAAATTCTCAATTTTCATAAGGAAACAATTTGCATCATTTCTATTTCTTAATTACAATATTGCTTTAATAAATTTAAAGTTTTTAAAAAATTTATGAAAAATAATGTTTATAAATTCTTTTTGTCAATTAGAAAGTGAAACTTTTAAAATTTTAAGAAAATTAAATGAAAAAGTTTTAGTCAAAAAAATTATCTGTTACATTTATTTACAAATTTCTTTCTTTCGAAAACATCAATAACTTCTTTTTAAAATAAATATTTAATTACTATTTTTCCATAGGAAATAAAATTCTTCGAAAGATTCAAATTCCAACCTTTTTGAAATTAAACAACTTATAAAAAATTGTTATAAAACATGAAGAAATCGGCCACTCCGAGTCTTCGACTCGGAGCAATCGATATCTTCTTGTTTCATAACAATTAAAGATGAACGAGTGATAAAATCATTATTTTATATTATATAATACTTTATAAAAAAAAATTTTTTTTTATTATTTTTTATGAAAATAATTTAATTATTAAGAAGAAATTTATAAAACATTAGTAAGTAATTGAATTTCGCAGAATAATTTTGATATTTACAAAGATAATTGAAATTTTGAGGAGAATTTTAAAAAAATTTCGAAAATAATTGAATTTCTGCGAAGAATTTTCTTATTTTTGAAGATAATTGAATTTTGCAAAGAATTTAATCAGAACTTTTAAAAATAATTAAATTTCCAGGATGAATTTTATTATTTATGAAGATAAATAAAATTTTGACGAGGAATTTAAAAAAAAAATTGAAAATAAAAGAATTTCTGGGATAAATCTTTTTATTTATAAAGATAATTGAAATTTTGACAAGAATTTTATTATTATTTTTACAAATAATTAAATTTCAGAGAAGAATTTTATTATTTATAAAAATAATTGAAATTTTGAACAGATTTTTTTAAAAATATTTAAAAGTAATGGAATTTTGCAGAAGAATTTTCTTACTTTTGAAGATAATTGAATTTTGTAAAGAATTTTATCGAGAAAATTTGAATTTGAAAAAAAAATTCGAATATAATTGAATTTCTGCGAAGAATTTTATTACTTATGAAAATAATTGAATTTCAGAGAAGAATTTTATTATATTTATAAAGATAATTGAAATTTTGACAAGAATTTTATTAAATTTTTGTTTAAATAATTGAATTTTAGGAGAAGAATTTTATTATTTATAAAAATATTTTACATTTTAATGAGAATTTTTAAAAAAATGTTAAAAATACCTAATTAAAATTTTGCTTTGAATTTTATTAAATTTTATTCCGGATTGTTTGATATTAAAGTATGTGTTGTCGAGAAATATGATTTTTTTACAATTTTGACAATTTCTTGTTTCCTTTTTGTCGTTTTTTCTAAAATTCCATGCGACTTTTTTGCAAATTTTATGCGACTTTTCGTGACTTTTGTTGTGAATTTATGCGACTAAAGCGACTTTTTTTGAGTCTTAAAGTCGATCCGAGCCCTGAGAAAACTGATTGAATGATCATGTACCCCTAATGTCGACCATATTAAATTTCGCTTCTTCAAGTTTCTTTTTCGCAAATTTGTAAATTTATGAAAAATCTTTTAGGCTCTGGTGCTGCAGCCGTCGCCCATTTAGATGGAGCTGGAACGGAGGACGCTGCAGCGACAATGATTCAGAGGGTAACGGAATTAGCACTTGGATATCCGGAGGGACGTCTGGAACTCCAACTCGTAGGTGGTTACTCCGACCCTAGGAATTACTCGGAAGGACTTTTTTGTAATATTATGTGTAAGCATAAATATTCAATTTACATAATTAAATTTTATTTTTTTTCACTAATTTTCTGTCACAAATTTAAATAAACCCTTTATAGTATATAAAACTAAAAAAAAATAAAGTAATTTGGAGGATTTAAATTTTCAAAAAACAAAATGATCCAATTTCTATTGATATTGATGGTCTGAAACATTGAATATTGAATATTCTCTTTGGCTTTCAGCTGCTTTTCATAAGCAACCTGTTGAAATTGACCTCACGCTCTGCTGCGTAGGCGAACTCAACACAACTGTCAGAGGTGGTATACATTGGCCGGTAATTTACGGAATTGGCTTAAATGTAAAAACTGGAGAAATATTTCCAGCAACATTTCCCGACAAAGGACCTGATCAGGCTCTTCGAAGTGCTAGACAATTAACTGGAGGACAACAGGTTCGTTTGTATTTTCTATACTTGAAAAATCAACAATAAAAAAAAACTGCCTTTTCGATTTTTAATAAAACCGTTTCACTAATTATTATTAAAATTCTATTAACAATTAATAAACGCAAAATTAATCTTTTTTTACCTTCTCGTAAAAAAAAATGGGGAGTTTTTTAATTTAATTTAATTTAAATAATTTGAATTTGCAAATAATCGCTCACTGTTTATTTGCGACGATAAAATAAAGTATTTAGGTCAAGTAAATATTTATTTGCTTTGAATATAGATTTAATAGACGAGAAAATAATTTAAGTGAATCAATTAAATTTTTTTTCAACAGAAATAAAATTCTTTTTTTTTAGTTTATAGATGAAATATTAACGTAATTTTTTTTTAGGTTCTAGATGTCTATGACTGTACCCTTGGTCTCCTTAGAATTGGACCTTTTAATTACGACCCCCTACGAGGAGTGGATCTTTGGTTGGCTCAATCAGATCAATTTATTCTACAACACCTGTCAACATCACCTGACGTAGAACTACCACATTTTGTCTCACAGGTGAAATATAATTCACAGACATTTCAATAATTATTTTTCAATAAATATTTTCAATTTATTTTCAATAATTAATTAACTTAGAAAATTTAAATCCACTTTTATAAAGTTTATTAATTTAATAATTAAATAAGTGACAATATTTTAACCTTCTGTTGGAAAATTCATTAACTTAATAATTAAATAAGTGACAATATTTTAACTTTCCGTTGGAAAATTTCGCTTATAAGAGATTTCCTTAAAAAAAAAAAATCGAAAAGAGGGAAATGAGTAAAATTTGCAACTGTTTTTAATGAATGTTTTAGATCCGAGCAACGCTCAAGTACATCCAGGACAATCAATTTCCGGCAGTAACAGTCTTTAGAGACAATAGACCTCATTATTATCGACGGGATGAAGCCACCGGTGTTTGGCAGCCAATAAGATATTAAACGTTAAACGTTGTCATCCATGCATATCTACTTCTCTTTCTTATTTCGCGATAATACGCTTTTTTTGCAACTTTGTCGATAAAAAAAAAGAATTCTTGTTTAAACTATATATAGAAACAAAACAAAGTTATCAATACCATTTCATTTTATAAAATTTCTGTTGCAAACAGAATGAAAATGAGTATTGAATAAATATATTTCACTGTTATAACTCAATGACCACATCTGCCAATGCTTTGTTTATCTTCTACTCTTAACTTGCTTATTTGTTACTATTTATGTAGAAATAAATTATTCGCCATTTTTATTTTGAAGAAAAATTTTTTATTCTAAATTCGAAAAGTTGGATAAAAATTTATTTGAAATTTGAAAAGTTGAATAAAAATTTATTTGAAATTTAAAAAGTTGAATAAAAATTTATTTGAGCTTTGAAAATTTAAATAAAAATTTATTTGAAAATTTAAAATTTAAATAAAAATTTATTTGAAATTTAAAAAGTTGAATAAAAATTTATTTGAGCTTTGAAAATTTAAATAAAAATTTATTTGAAATTTAAAAAGTTGAATAAAAATTTATTTGAAATTTAAAAAGTTGAATAAAAATTTATTTGAAATTTAAAAAGATAATACTAATTTTTTATTCGAAAATTCAAAAGTTAATTAAAAACTATTTATTGAAAACTTAAAAGCTTAAATAAAAAATTTTCATTTGACTCAAAATTCAAATTAAGTTTCCAAGTTTTTGAAAAGTGTTCCAAAAATTCCAAACGTTTGGAAAATTCAAATTTTCCAAACGGAAATTTTTTTTAATATAAATATTTTCATAAATATTAAAAAAAATAAATTTGTGAAATAATAAAAAAATAAATCAATCTTTTTTCACTGGAATAAAAATGAAAAACTTAATTTCAAAATTTTGAAACTTTATAAATTACTTTTTGATATGTAATTAAATATTTTTATTAAAGCGAAATTAAAATCCAGAACTTAAATCAACGAAAAAAATTAATAATTATTTTACTGAAAAATTACGCAAAAATATTGCTAGAAAAATATATACAAATATTTTTACTTCTATTTTACGAAAATTTGTCTATATTTCAAAAAAATAATAGTCGAATCCACGAGATAAATTTTTTTCGTTGTTCAATTTTGTGAACTTCAATATTATTCAAATTTGAATTTGAAAAAAGAACTAAATTAAATTTATTCATTTGAATGAAAAATTTTAGTTTTTTTTGAACTTTTGGAACATATTGAAAAATTAAATTTTATTTTTAATTTAAATTAAAACTGAATTTTCAAGTTTGAAATTTTAATTAATTTAAATTTTCAAATTAAATTTTCCCGTGAGTTTAAAAAAAATATTTCTTAAATCAAATGTACACAGAATACAAATACAGCAAGTTAAGAGTAAATTTTTTGCAAAAATAGATGATGCTCTTTAAAATTTTCTTCTTTCTTCAAATTAATGCTCTCAAATGCTAAAGAAGAAATTTTTGACTGTGAACAAAATGTACTTGTTTTTAATTTTTTAAGTAATGCTAAAAATATTTTATTAACAATGTTTTATGAACAAGAAGATGATTATTAAGTTAAGTAATTGTTTTAAATACTCCGTTGTTCCACAATTTTTATTTGGGTATTTAATGAAAAAAAAAAAAATTATTGTCGAAACTGAAAAATTGGCTGTGGAGTTTGCACAATATTTTTTTTTACAAAAAAAAAGTATAAATAGACGAAGAATGTAAAAGCAGATGACGTATTTTTTAATTTCTCTTATTTTTGACGAAGTTAAAAACTTAAAAACTTAAAATAATTTCAAAGTTATAAATATTTTTCGTTTTCCTTTTTTTATTGGGGTGGATTATAGGGAAATTCGTAGAGTATGAATATTCCGCTCTTGCCATAATTAAATGAATTAAAAGAATATAATGAATTAAATGAATTTAATCAATTAAATGAATTTAATCAATTAAATAAATTTAATGAATTAAATGAATTAAATGAATATTAGATGAAAGTTTATAAAAAAAGATGATCTATATAAGAAAGTACAACAGAAATGCTGTAAATACTTCTAAGGACTGTTAATTAAATTTTCTAGTATATAAGGAGAGGGCCAAGAAACAAAATGTGTTAAAAATTGCTTTTAATTTTTTTTTTTTTGATATTTTTTACGTTTTTTTTCTTGCTTTGCAAAAAAACTGTTATGGCTTTTTTCTCTATTGCTAACTTTGGACTATTATAAAGAAAAATAAAAAAGTTTCTTGAATTTTTCGATGAATAATAGAAAAATTTATCAAAAGAGAAAAAGGCCTCTTTTTTTAAATCGTTTTTAGTGATAGTTACGTGTTAAACGCAGCATAAGGTCAATTAAATAAGGAATTCCTAAAATTCGTGAAGAGATATATTTTTATTCTATAATGTCTATTAAACAAGCAAAAACTTGGAGAAAAATTTACAATTATATAGCAAAAAAAAAAAAATACAAATACTATCGCATATTTATTTGAGAAAAGCGAACATCGATTATAAATGCAAATATAGTTAAATATTGTTTGTTTGTAACACTTTTTAGAGAAGTGAATGAAAACTGCTATATCTGTCTGATAATTTTTCTCTCCGTTTATCTTTGTTTTCATTTATTCGTTTCTTTATCTTTCTTTTTTTCTTTTGTTGTTATGAAAAACGACCTTATTTTATAATACTATTTGGTGATATATTTATATAATAAATTACAATTAGTAAACATATTCGTTTTGTCATCTCTTCTCTTCAATTCCTATAATATTCCTTCAAATAAATACAATTTCAAAAAATTTTACGAAGTTAGAAAATATTTTTTTTTTGTCAATTATTAAATAAATATTTACTTGAATCAAATTGATTTTTATTTAAGTCAACTAAATTGTATTTGAATCAGTAATTTCAGTATTTGAAGTAAATACAATTTATTTGACTAAAAGAAAAATTATTTGATTTAAGTAAATATTAAATAGATAATAATGAAGTATTATTTGAATAATAGAATATATTATATAATTATTTTTTTATTTAATTATTTATTTATTGTTTGAATCAAATAAATTTTTATTCAGTGTCTTATTATTTTCATAAAAATTAACACTCATAAATTTTTCTCCTTTTTCTTAATAATAAAAATAAATAAAATTTTCTTAAATAATATAAAGAAAATAATTTCGGACATTTTATTTAAATAATATAATACGTAATCTAACAATATTATTTTTATTATCAGATAAATAAATAATCTAATATTATTTTGATTTAAAAATTAATTCAATTCAAATTATTTTTTATATTTTATTTTTTTTTTTTTTGAAGTTTCAACTTGGAAAATAATCTTCTAAAAAATTAAATTTCATAAAAATAATGTTAAGAATGGAAAAACAAATTTCTTGAATAAAAAATAATTTAAAAGCATAATCTTCTGAAAAATTAAATTTCATAAAAATAAAATTAAGAATGGAAAAATAAATTTCTTGAATAAAAAATGATTTAAAATGCATAATCTCTGATAATATTATTTTGCAGTTTCTTAAGGATTCAGAATTAGCTTGTGATTTCAAAGACTCCATTTGAATAATTAAATCTGAAATGAGTGGCCCAAATACTAAAAGCCATGCATGATGCACATGGTTAACGCCTTTCGATAATATGACAAAAATCACTGTTGCAAATCGGCTCTTCTTAGAAACACGCAAACGAAATGGGTGATTCCAAAACTACTTAGTGGAAAAATTATGCTTGAAAATATTTTTTCCAATAATTCACTAATACTATTATTAAAAAAAAAAATATTTCAAAATATTAAATTCAATATTTTTGTGAATATTTCTTATCCTAAAGAATTTATTTTTTTCTCAATGTTATTTTTCATTTATAAAAATTTTTGAATTTTTTTATTTTATTCCTTGTATTTATAATTATTTTCACCTGATTCTTGCACTGGAAAAAAATTTTATTTGATTCAAATAAATGTTTGTAGAATTTAAAAATGGAAATTGAATTGTAAATTAGTAGAAATTATTTATTATTAAAATCTACTATAATGAATAGTTATTTCTGCTAATTTATTTAGTTTGCAGAATTTTAAAGTGAAAATTGAATTGTAAATTTGTAAATTAATAAAAATTACTATTTATTAGAAAATTTTACTAATGAATATTTATATTTTAACTAATTTAGCTTCAAAGTAAATAAATTAGTAAAAAAATTAATGAAATTCATTAATAAATAATAATTTTTACTAGTTTTTAATAAATTTACACTTTAAAATTTTCCAAACCAAATAAATTAGTAGAAAAATTAGTAAAATTCTCTAATAAATAATAATTTTTACTAATTTTTAATAAATTTACAATTTAAAATTTTGCAAACCAAATAAATTAGTAGAAAAATTAGTAAAATTCACTGATAAATAATAATTTTTACTAATTTTTAATAAACTTCCACTTTAAAATTTTTCAAACTAAATAAATTAGAAGAAATAAAATTAGTGAAATTCACTAATAAATAATAATTTTTACTAATTTATACTTTAAAATTGTGCGAACTAAATAAATTAGTAGAAATAACTAATTTTACTAATATTATTAGTAAGTAGTAAATTTTACTAGTAAAATTAATAAAATGTACTTAAGTAGCATTTTCTACTAAATTATTTAGTTAGTAAAATTTTTGAATTGTAAATCGAATTTTAATTTTCTAATTTATTAGTAAAATTTACTAATTCAAAAGCAAAAACTCAGTCACTAATTCAAACTATTAATAAACATTTTTACAAACTCAAATTTAGAGAGTAAATCAAAATTATTATATACGAAGAAATATTTACTAGATTCGAATAAATTTAATTTAAATTTATTATTTATTCGGTATTTGCTCCAAATACTAAAATTATCAACTCCAATGCAAAAGAAATGAAATAAAATTTAAAAAAATAATCAAATAAATATTGTTTGATTCAAAAGAAAATATTAATTTCATAATTGACAACTAATCAGTCATCTGAATAAAATAAATTTTTTTTCCGCACTGTAAAACAATATATTTTCCGAAAAAAAGAATTCGATTACAATTACTGTAATTTGTGAAATAATTCTATATGCATATGTATGGAAAAAATAATTTCGAACATTTCCGTTTTATAATTTAATATTCTGTTTCATTTGAAGAAAAGAGCGTAAATGGAAAAATTTCATCAACCTGTAGTACTTTGATGCATACAAAGCTTAAGTCAAACAATTGCAGTTTTTTTTTATATTTTTCGAAAATTTCATATTTTACGTATATATAGAAAAGGAAATTCAAGTGTGAGAAATTTTTTCCTTTAAAAATAAAATGCAATAAAATAAAATTGCGTATCATATATTTTGCTAATAAAAATAGATCTTGTGTCGTTGAAAATAAGATCAATAGAATCATTAATTTTTAATTAGATATTTATTTTGCAATTTTAAATAAAAGTACCTAGCTTTCAATTTAACAAAATTAATCCTTTCAATTTCTTTTTTTTATTGTAATCGTTTTTCTCGTATTTTTCATCTTTTGTAAAATCGTTTAAAATTTAGTATAAATTATTTTTTAAACCTCTGGAAAAAATAATAAGAACGTATAATAAACAAAAACTAAAATAAGCTCAAAAAGAATTTTTTTTCCAGGCAATTTCTATTTTTTAGATTGACAGATTTATTAATTTGTTTTCTATAATTTTTGACGTTCATATTTTTTTTATTATTTGACTTTTTCATATTTATCAAGTTTGTTAAAATGTATAGCGTAATAAATTTCAGAGAAATACGATTTACAAATTAATTTACATTTTGTTGTTCGTTTTACAGTTGATTCGAAATGAAATTAAATTCAACCACTTTTGATTGACACATGCCTTTTTCAGTTAATGAACATAATTACAGTTTTATGGATTAAAAACCTTATTTATCACGCATTAAAATATGTTTCCACAAAAATAATGTGAAATTTACAATCTATTAAATTTTAATTTATTTCAAACTCTTTTTTATTTTTCTAAAAAAGAAACAATTTAATAAATGAATTTTTTTTTTCGTAAACAAGGTTTTCAATTAAATTTGAAATTCAATCGAAGAATAAAAAACAATTCATTAAAAATATTTTTATCAAATACGATTTTTGATTCACTTTTTTAGTTTCAAATTTTGCTAGTTGATATTTTATGTTTGGTCTGAAAAAAAATTTTATTTTCCAAACTATTTTTGCAAATTTTTAACAAAATTGCCTGTAAACAAAAAATTAAATATTCTAATTTCTATCTAATTTTTGTCAATTATTATTATTGTTCAATTTTAATTTTTATCTAATTACTTATTAGGAAAACTAAATTATTCTAATTTTTAAAATTATCGAGGATTTTATTTATCAGAATTTAATTTATTACATTTATTAATTAACTAAATATTGTTTTTTGCAATTAAAAAATTATTTTTTAACCAAATAAGTTTTACAATTTTTTTCATTTCAGTCTAATAAATATTAAAAATATTGGATTATTATTATATATTATTATTATTATTAATTAAATTTGTACGGTTTATTAAAAGAAAAACTTTTATATTAAAAAAGTTAATTCTTAACTAAGTAAATGTATAAATTTAATTATTTTTCTTTTTTGAATAGTAGGTTTAAAAAATGTTTACAAAGAAAAAAATTCCTTCATTTAAACTTTCGAAACTTTAGCAAAGTTTTTTTTTCAATGTCAGTTAAGTTCTTTTTTAAATTCTTTTTTTTTAATTCACAAAAATTTTTAATTTTCAACCAATTTGAAGACCACAAAGTCAATCAACAAAAAAAAATATTTTAATAATTATATTACTAAAAAATAATGCAACAATATTGCCCCAAAAATGTACAAAAAAGATAAATTTCAATTTATTTAAAATTATTATTTATTATTATTATTTATTAAATTATTTAACAACAATTGACAATATTTTTATATGTATACACTATTTTTTTAAAAATAATATTCGAATACGTTAAATAAATTATTTTCGTTGAAAAACGTTGACTTTAAATTCGTTTTTTTCCATCTCTTTTATTCCCATAATTGAAAATTCAATTTAGACCAACAAACTATAGTTATACATATAGAATACCTACAAGCTTTCTTTTGATGTAATTTTGATTAAAATTCGCGGCAACATATTTTAAGATGTTTTAATTTTCCAAACATAAATTTACATCAATAAAACCAAGTTTCTGTTATACTGAAATAAATTTAATGAAATTCTCAATTTAAATTCTTTATTAAATTCTTAATTCAATTCTAACGTCATAAGAAGCTTTTATTAAAAGTTTTTATACAAAAACGTTCATATGAAAAATTCCCAGTGCATATAATAATTTTTAGACAGTCGAATATATACTTCGTTTTAAAGAAAGAATTTCTTTTATTTATTTATTACTCACTGGAAAATTTAATTTTAAAAACTAAAATACTATTTTCACAGAGCTAATTAATTAGCGCGATTATAATTAATTAAATTTCCTAATTTCAAAATTTATGGCAAATATTTGTTATATATGGTTCAATAAATATCTTTGAAAATATTGTCTTTCGCCGGTGAAATTTCAAGCAAATCATTTTAGGCTATTCCTAATTAAAAAATACGCCACCGGCTGTAAATTTTTGTATTTTAATTTTCCAGGCGCGAGATAAAATTTAATGAATGGCAAATGTAAAATCCTAATGTGGCAAATATACATTTAAGAGTAATGTTGTAATCGTGCTTCAGAATTTATTAAATAAAAAAGAAAAAAAATGAAGAAGAAAAGAAAATAAAAAAAAAGGGATGAAAAATTATGCGCAGACTCTGCGATATCACAAGAGACGTGCCACGCGTCGCGGCGCTCAGTGCCGTTCTGTTCGCGTGTTGGAGCGTTTCTTTTTCGCTTCGGAAAAATCGGAACCACGTTTTTCCTTCAGGAAACTAGTAAATAAAATTGTCGATTGCCTTGTTCTGATGAAGATATTTTTAAAAATTTCTACATATAGTAAGTGACAATTTTCTTTTTTTCCAACAATTTTTAACAATTTTTTTCAACAAATTAAAGTAAGTTTCAAAACAAATTGATTCATTCGAATTTTTTTTTTAAATAGTGAAAAGGGGAAAAGTTCCCTTATCAATTTTAAATAGTCTCGTGTTAAAAAATCATTTATCATTCGAAAAAAAGAGAATATAATAAAAACAGAAAAGTTCTTTAAAATTAATTCAAAACATTCATTTCATTTTTCTATCCTAAAAAAAAGAAGTCAGTAAATATTTTATATTTTCCTAGTTTTCAATGAATAATTTGTTCTATTTGAATATTTTCAAAAATTACTGGAATAACATTAAAAATAAAATAAAATCGATATTTGTAGAAATATAATTTAAAAAATTTAAATTTAAAAAAAAATGAATAAAAATTGTGAATTAAAAAGTTACAATTATTACTTTATATTCCTAAAGTTTCAAAGGTTCAAATAAACGAAATTTTTATTACTTATTCTTTTAATTTAAATTTCATTAAAAATTTTTATTTTTTTTAACAATTTAAAAATTAATTTTTTAATAAATAAATATTAAATAACATTATTTTCATTCCAAGCTGGTATTTTTTCAAAAAAATTGCAATACAAAACGTTAGTGAAATTCACAACGTCTATGATCAGTGACTGGAAGAAAAATAAATTTTTCTTGATAAAAGCAAACACAATTTTTTGTTTATAAATTTTTTTTTTTGTAAATTATTCATCAAAAAGCTGTACGAAACTTTTTTGATATAAAAATAAGTATAAATTTAATCAACAAAAAATTTTCAAACGTTCAAATGAGTGAAATAATTTTCTTTAATAATATTTTAGAAATCTTAGAATAAATAATAATAAAAATAATAATAATAACAATAATAATAACAATAGTAATAATAATAATAATAATAACAATACTAATATAATAATAGTAATAATAATAGTGATTTTAACAATAATATAAACAATTACACTAATTAATTAATTACTCAGATTGCAATTAAAATTAAAAACTCAAATTTTACAATTATAAATTTTATAATTAATGTTCCTAAAGTTAATGTTCCTACATGTTAAATTTTGGTTTTTAATTTTCATTACAAACAGTAATTTACGGGAAAATTTTTAGTGAAAAAAATTTCGTTCAATTGAACGTTCGAAACTTGTGGAGAATAATAAATAATTTTTTTTGTTATTAACACTAAATTATTGTAAAAAATATTTAATTTGAAGTTGTAAGAAATAAAGTTTGATCATTTAAATTTAAATAATTTAAACACTTCAATTTTTAAATTAGAAATATTAAATATTATTAAATATGAATTTTTTTTTGTTTCTATTATTTTTTTGTTCAGAACTTTAAGATCATATAAATTTAAATAATTTAAACTTTACAGTTTTTTAATTAGAATTACTAAATATTATGAAATATTAATTATTTTTTGTTACTATTTGTTTATCAGAACTTTAGGATCATATAAATTTAAATAATTTCAATATTTTAATTAGAAATGTTAAATATTATTAAACATTAATTTTTTTTTGTTTCTATTATTTTTTGTTCAGAACTTAAGCATCATAAAAATTTAAATAATATAAACATTAAAATTTTTAAATTAGAAATACAAAATATTAAATATTAATTATTCCTAAATAATTGAAAATCGTTCCTAAATCGTAGAATATAAAAGTTGTGAACTTCAGGAAAGTGAACAATAAAAATAAGTCGTTCACTTGGACGTTCAAATTTTTAGAAAAATACTACTTTCAATTTCAATGAAAAAATATATATTATCAAGAAAAAATTACAATTCAATTTAGGCACTTTATTTTATTACCAATAAAAGAAACGAATAAAAAATGATGAAAAAAAAATGTTAGAACTGCATACTTTGGAGTATATAAATTAATTAAAATTTCTTCAAGTACACTTGACTTCCTCCGAAACTTAATTTTCTCATATACAGTCCAAGTTACTTTAATTGAACAAAAATTGATAAAGATTGATACATAAATACATTATTGGTGTTATATATCTTAATATTGTATATATAGATTACCTCAATAAATAGAAAACTGTGCTGAGGGGTGTAAAAACCTATATTTAATTTTAATTTAGTTTATTGACTGTTATAGTGATGGATGTGTACATAAGTGCATACCTCCTATAAATAAAAAAAACAATATCTAAAGTATTGAAAAATGAAGATGATGATGATGATAATATTTCAATCAATTATAATTTACAATATAGAAAAAAACAGGCGGGAATTAAAATAAAAATTTTAACCTCTATTCAAACTAAAGACGAGCAATTCACTGTACTACACATAACACTTAAAGAGTTCTTTACTCCATGTACTAAACAGGAAAACTCTTTGCCGTGAAATTGAGTTACGAACATACGATCGTGACTTGTGATTCTAAATTATATTGACTTTGATTCACGATTTTATTCTATAATGGCTCCATTGTGACAGAGAATACTTTTTTTAAATTGTTAGAAAACAAGATCTTTAAATGTTTCATTGAACTTTTCTCGACTTTTCTAAAATAAAACTTGTTCGAAAAGTAAAACTATAAAACATTTTTCACGACAAATATGATCTTGAAATTCTGAACGGTTCGTTTATTTCTTCTTCAATTCTTATTAGAATTGACAAAAAAATTTAGAAAAAAAAATTTAGACAAAACAAAATTGATTATTAAATATCTAAATTTAAAACCAGTTTTTAATTTTTGACGCACCAACATTTTTTCCCTTACGTTTCATTTTGAGGGAAGGAACAAAACATTTGGTTAGTTTTGTTGTATCTTAATAATTTTTATTATCTCAAGCAAACTTTGTTTTTAATTCATCTTCAATTTTAATGAGCATAAAAAAAATTTTAAGAAATAAATAAATTTTTTTACAGTTACTTAAAAATTTTCTTCGGTCTTCAGCCTCATTAAATGAGTTTAAAAAATCGAGAAGATGTAATTTATTGTGTGCAAACATATTAAAGTACATCCACATCATTATAATAGAATTTTTGCATAATAAGCATGTTAAATTTGATCAAACTCAGTGTTTATATATTGTAATCGTTAAACTCTGATGCAACAACAAGAACTATAGTGAAATTTATGACAGTAATATTAAACCCGAAGACTCCTTTTTGGAATAGAAAATATAAAAATTTTAAGTTTAGTTATGCGGCTATTTCGATGAACGTCGTAAAAGAGGCGTATTTATTCAGTATAAATACCGAATAATATGAAGGATAGTATCAAATAAACATTTTATATTATTATAGGAAATAGGGAAATCCCCTTCAGAGATCTAAAGATAGTTGAACGTAAATATGGCTTTTAATGTGTAATACATAAACTCAATCCGTTTTTAATTATATTCTTAGATTTTACTCACCTTTAATTTATTTAAACATAATAAAAATAAAAATATCAATAATAATAATAATAATAACAATAATAATTCAATTTTAAAAGAATTGCGTTTACAATTTTCATAAGTAGATGAACTTCAAAAGATTTTGATTTAAAATTTCGTAAAATTTCAATTTTAAATGAATTTATAAATTAGAAATATAAAAAGACTTAGATTTAAAAAAGATTTTTAAAATTAGAATTCTTCTGAAAGTTAAATTTTTTAATATCTATATATATTTAATTCATTATTAAAAATAATGGATTTATAGAAGAATTTTAGTTAAAAACACTAAAACAAATTTAATTTTGAAGCAATTACAAATTATTGCCGAAATTCAATTATTTTCAAAAGTAGTAAAATTCTTCTCAGAAGTTCAATTATTTTCAAAAATTTTCATAAAATTCTTGGCAAAATTTTAATTATTTTCAAAAACTTTCCTCAATTCCTCAATTTAATTATTTTAAGGAATTTTAATAAAAATCTATGCAAAATTCAATTATTTTTATAAATAATAATATTCATCACAAGAATTCAATTATTTTCAAGAATTTTAACAAAAATCTTGTCAACAATTCAATTATCTTTATAAATAATCAAATTCTTAAGAGAAAATCAATTACTTTCAGGAATTTTAATAAAATTCTTTAAAAAATTCAATTATTTTCTTGAATAACAATATTCATCATAAGAATTCAATTATTTTCAAAAGTAATAAAATTCTTCGCATAAATTCAATTATTTACAAAAATTTGACTAAAATTCAATGAAGGAATTCAATTATTTTCACAAATAATAAAATTATTCTCCAAAATTCAAGTATTTTTAGAAATTAAAAAAAAAAATTCTTTGCAAAATTCAATTATTTTTATAAATAACAATATTCAGAACAAGATTTCAATTATTTTCAAAAGTAAAAATATTTTATGCAGAAGTAGAATTATTTTTAGGAATTTTAACAAAATTTTTTAAAAAATTCAATTATTTTCATAAATAATAATATTCATCACAAGAATTCAATTATTTTCAAGAATATTAACAAAAATCTTGTCAACAATTCAATTATGTTTATAAATAATCAAATTCTTAAGAGAAAATCATTTATTTTTAGGAATTTCAAGAAAAATTCTTTACAGAATTCAATTATTTTTATAAATAAAAATATTCATCACAAGAATTCAATTATTTTTAAAATTAATAAAATTCTTCTCAGAAATTCAATTATTCACAAAAATTTGACTAAAATTCATTACAAGAATTATACTATTTTCACAAATAATAAATTTTTTTTACAAAATTCAATTACTTTTAGGCATTTTAATAAAATTCTTTGAAACATTTAATTATTTTCGTGAATAACAATATTCATAATTAGAATTCAATTATTTTTAAAAGTAATAAAATTCTTCGCATAAATTCAATTATTTTCACAAATAATAAAATTTCTCTAAAATTCAATTACTTTTAGGAATTTTAATAAAATTCTTTGCAAAATTCAATTATTTTCATAAATAACAATATCCATCACAAAAATTCAAAATTCAATTATTTTCA